GAAAGTAGCCACAACATGCACATCATAAATCCAATCTGTTTACATTAAGTAATAATAACCATATATGTGCAGAAGAACTGAAGCAAAGAAAATTTATGAGATGATCAAATTATTCCTGGCATATAAAGCAATTTGTCTATCAAATGTGGTTAAATACGTGTATCAAAAATACTTACGTCAATCCAACGTTGCCAAACGTCATCGTTCCCCGTTATCACTTTACCCGTAGGATCCCAACCAAATCCAGTCTATTTGGTATGCATTGTGTGGAACCTTCTCCAATGGACTTTAATCGACTACTTAGTTTGTAGCTATTTAATTTCATAGGGAGGGAATGTAAGACACTGATATGCGAAGTTCACATGAATGGTCGCCCATTGATTGGGTGTGAACTTATCGGTTACACAATTTCCCAGCAGAACTTCCTCTAACAAAATATTTACAAGTGCGGCCTCATTTTTGAGAGGCCATTTCACATTTGCTTGCTTTCCAGTCGAAGTACCAATATCACCGGCACCCGACATCTACATTTATCACATACAAAAAATCATCTACATTGTCGTATGACACTCTTGAAATATAAAAAGACTACTGATCACAAAATCCAAATTTACCCTACAATAATTGTTATAGAGTGCACACAACCACAAATAAGTTCAACCTCAGTTTATGTGCCCTCAATTTATCTTCCTTTTAAAGAAGCCACAATTTTTTAAAGAGGAGAGTAACCTAAATTTATAAAGCAACCCACAAATCAACGTACATATTAGGAATAATTGAACTAATCGATACAAATTGATGGCATAGGAACCCTAACCACCAAAAAAAATGGGCACACACCCAATTTGAAGAATATGGGAAGTGATGGTCGCGTCGATTATTTTTTTTTTTTCTCAAATTCTAGATACAATGTAGGGTGCCACAACCAAACACCAACGTTACAGAGTGCAAAAATGCAAAAAAGAAAAAACTCAAATCCAGTCTGAGAAAGGAGTTTGATGTACCTTGTTGGTCGGAGTACCATTTTTTGGAGAGGTGACAGAGGTGCTACCGTTGCTTTATGTGGTGTCTTCAGGCCTCGGCTCGGTCCGCTATTCACTGTGATATTATGGTGCAGTTGTCGGAGAAATTAGCCGTGGAGAGAGCTCCATAAAGTGCCGCGGTGGTTGATAGATATTATGAAGAAAAAAAATCTGGAGGCTCAAGATGTACAATTTTATCTTTAGTATTTTGATTTGATATATGCAAGAGACGTCAAAAAATAGCTGAGGTGAAATGAATTGGTGTAGGTTTGGTTGGTAGATGTAAATCATAAATACTAAATACTGAAAATATTTTTGTCAATTTGGAACTTAAGGGGAAAAAAAAAAGAGAAGCAATTTAGAAATGCGTAAACAAAGACAACGTAGCTGCATTTTTCCCTCAAAATTTTGCTTGACACACAAGAAAAAGGTTCAGGTTCTTAGACCATCTCCAATGCATCACCACATTTGTTGATTACGCTGGAGTGGTGCCAGATTTTTTCTCCAACGTTGCGCTATAATATAGTGCTACATCAAATATATCTACATTACTACGTCAAATGTGAAGCCGTATTATTCATCTGCGCTGCTTTGCTTTTTCTTTTTTTTTTTTCAATTACAAAATGTTTGTGTTCACTCCCTTGTCTTTTTTTTTTCTTTTTAAATAATGTTTTATTAATGTTTTTATATAATGCTTTTATTATAAATTGTTATATTATAAAAAATTGATAATATAGTTATACTTCTATTTTAAGTTTATTTCTTGTAAGTATTAATACTAAATAAAATAATAATCGTAACATCTATATATATTGTTAGTAATAGTTCTATGACATAGATTACCCATTGAGAATTAACAAATACTCGATTAATATTCTAAAAATTAAAATAATCTTGATATAAATAATGTTCATTTAATTGTATTTTTTCAATCATACATCGGTAATTTAAATTACTAAATATGTGTAAGAATATATATTTCATTATATTATATTTTTGGTATTAAAATTTGAACGATTTATTTTTGGGAACAAGTTAAAAAACTACGCTCCCCCTTCTCTCTCACCGCTAAATTCGATTTATCGCTGCCTTCCTCTCGGTGATCCGTCTCATCGGCAGTCGTCCCTTCGCCAACCGGTCCTTCCCAGATGCCGAGTCCCTGCTCTCCACTTGTGCGGTTTCGGTGGTGGCCAAAACAAACTCACCTTCTCCGGCAGGTAAGTTAGGGTTTGGACCG